TGTAGATGTTAGTACACACTGGACAAGACACTTCTTCTCGAAGATTATCTAGCAGTGTTTTGATATCCATGTCTTCAGTATCAAGTAGGAAGGGAGGTGAAGAGGCGAGGTAGTCTCGAAATTCAGCATGAAGCCTTGTGCTTCCTTTTTGCCTAAGAGTTATATTGGAATCTATTATCTGTTATGATAAACATATTCTTTGTGGCAACCAATCACTGTACGTTGCTATCGTATCGAACCATATATGCGTGTGACTCCAAAGTATGTATGCCGTGCTGATACATGAACACACTGATGATATCGAAAAGCCAGTAAAACGCAGTTCTTTGCAACCCAGGAGCATTCGATTTAAGATCGACTTAAACAGGAAAAGCCACTTCTATTATGAGTAAATTGAGTGAAATTTCGCGAAACTGTGAGTGACAAACAAGTGCCGAAAAACATTACATAACTTCCTTGATAAAATCCTGCTGGATATCGAACGAATACTAGCGATTCTAATTAATATCAAAAGACAAAAGAATGCAAAACAAAGATGACCTCGCCACATATATTTACCTCTGACGTAACTTTAGGCTTGTTGTTCATGTGAGCGCTAAAAATTCCCACAATAAAATGCGGACACTCCATAGACTTATGGAAAATGAATTTGGATTTTTACGAACTTCTCGCATCGGTTTACCTTAGCCCCAATCTCCTGTAATTGCTTTACCGTCACCCCCTAAGTAAATTCCGTCGTCCCTAGTTTCGTGAACTTTTTACTGCAATGAATCAAGTGGTGCTAGCAAGTAACGCGGTAGTCAAGCGTCAAGCATGCGTCGGTGGATCACAGTTTTGGCCAGCTGTGTACAACACGGCGGTCAAGCGCAGGGGATGCGCGAGGAGATTAATCTGTGACGCTTGTGCGCCAATTTCCCCCGCAAAATGTCCGAGGAAAGCATAGGAAAAAGCCGCTGTCTTAGAATAGATTATGCGCAAGAAAATTGAGACGTTCGTGGAAATCTGTTAAAGGAAACAAAAAAGGAAAACTCAAGACTTTTCGAACACAAGCATATTCAGGTAGATTTACCATTCTGTTTTGAGCTTTACTCAAAAAGATGTACGCTCAAGTTAAGGTGGCCCTTTCGACTGGTATCAATAGGGACCTGCGTATTTTATAACGCGTAGGTACAAAGAAAGCAATTAACAACTATACACCGAAGTAGAGGTAAATATCCACCACCTTCAACGACACTTAAGTGAAAAGTTGTATATACCACACAAAAAAGTAAAAAAATTAGTTAATTTCTTTCAATATACCGAAAAATGGTCGGAAATTAAACTCTTGACACGCCATTTTGTCTCATCGGCTGCTAGGAGGAGAATAGTACTTGCTATTCACTTCCGAACTAGCCAATCAGAGCGCACGAAAAGCATTATTCACCTATGTGGTACGAATATACACGAAGAGTATATTCGTAAAAATATAAAGTAAAGGGTCGGTAAGTGAATTTGGTGCCTACAGCTAGTGTAATAACCATGAATACTAAATTTAAACGATCAAAATAATATGGGGAAGCTTTTAAAACACCGTGATTTACCAGGTTGCGCGGTTTCTCGTAACTTGTAAGAAAAAACCTGGGCCTGACAGCCTGAAAGCACCCTACCTAGTTATTACAACGTTTGCACATGCATAAACGTTTAAACCCGGCGCTGCGAAAAAAGAGAAAAAATGAAACTTCATGAAATCTATGAAAGGAATCAAAAGTTGTGAAAATTAAAACTGAAGAATTTTCGAACGTAAAGCATCTTCAATATAACGGGTATCCTGTAGATTTACCATTTTGTTTTGAGTTCTATAAAGAAAGAAAAATAAAACGTTTTCAAAACACCGTGACGTACTGGCTTGCCGAGACAATTTGGCTCTGACAGCCTGAAAGCAGGCCTACAAGCCATAACAACGTTTGCTCATGTGCAGGAGTTTGACCATTTAAGTCAAATATCCCAGTTTGTTTCTGAGCATACGATCATAGTTTTAAGTAACCTAGCCTTGTCATATCTATTTATGTGTAGAATGACCCTCCTGTTTTTCCTACACCCTAAATCATTGATAAAAATCCCCCTCCAACCCCCCCCCCCCC